ACCAAATGTATTTTACATGTGATGTCTACATCTCATGGGACCCACATAAAAAACAATTGGGTGTTGAATGTGGCATTTTAATGGTAGCATTCTTTTGCTGAAATGATTTTAAATTATTGCATGTAATATTTATCGCACATTAAACCTGAGAGAACCTTACATGCAAATGAACAAGTTTCTATTGTGTACTGATTCTCCAATGGCTAATCTTTTCAACTTTACGCTGGTAGTACTGTAGAATACTTTATTTTCGCTTGGAATTTATTTTCGCTGAAGGGATGATTCCGTGAAAATAAAATCCAGCGAATATACTATTTTTCCTATATTTTACATTAAACTCATCAAAAATCAGTGAAAATAAATTCCATACAAAATGCCCAAAAAGCCTTTTCAGCGAAAATTTATTCCAGCGAAAATAAAGTATTCCACAGTACTTCCTTTTCTACTGTTCATTGGGAGATGCATTCTCTGTTGTAAAAGGTGACAACAGCCTATTGTATTTCACTAGACAACCATATACATGTACATGTAGGGTTGTTGGGTGAGGGTTCATTCCGGCAACAGTTGTAAAAATATACAGTAGTAAAAAAATTATGCAGGCAGTGTGAATAATAGACATATATGCTGGTGGCACACTGAAGACTCATTCAGTGTGTTTGCTATCTGACTACAGTAGATACCAGTATCAGCTTCATGTTGGAAGTGTGCTTTGAAAAGACTCCTTATACTGGTCTCTGGTTGATACCCCCTAAGTTAGAGAGTTTTCCTTTGATTTAGTCAAGTTTGCAGTATTGAGTATTTTATTTTGGCATTCTTTATCTCAAATGCTAATATATCTAAAAACAGAACTGAAACATAAAATATCAAACAAATTTTGAACCAATAAATGATGCAGTCTTATATCATGTGATACCTTAACTGACAAATATATGCGACTTTATGTTCAATTTACCATAGAAACGCACCAGATTTCATTAAGAGCGAATACAGGTTAATAGTGGGAATTCTGCCAAGTTATGACGATGAGGCTTCGGCCGAATAAATGAATTAATAATAATAATAATGAATAAATGAACTCACCCCACCCTACCTAGTTTTTTTATGCAAATGAGCTCAAAATTGTATATTTCCACGTAAATTAATTAACTGCTGTCATTTCCTAAAGTTTGGATTTCATTTACATCCTCTATGTAGTGAATAGTTAACACTTAGTTTCCAGAATATATCTCCCTAATACAACTAACTTATTAAAAAGACATTTTTCACTTTCCTAGTTAAATTGTGACTATACAAGTTCTAGCAATAACCTCGGGGAAAAAAAATAAAGAAAACAAATTAATATAAAAATTTAGCCTGCCAAATCAGAATTATAGCCTGTTATCGTACTGGAAACACAACATTTATTTGTTGAGCCTAATGGATAATTTTGTCATACTTAGCTAGTATGAAGGGAAATTTTTCCTGATTTATTCTCTTCTCAAAAAAACTGTTCGCAATACTTCAAGTTGTGGGAAAAATAATAATTTAAAAGTCCATTGATTTAGATATATCATATCATATTTTCTCAATAATTTCATAGTCACAGTAAACCATCTTAATACCAGTACATCCTGTATATACAATGTACCAGTAAACTTAGTAGTATGCTAGTTGCTGGTAAGTTCTCCAGATGACATTATTCGGGTCGGGTCGGGTCAGGTCAGGTCATTCTATGAATGTATCTACCTAGAGAACACTTCTTTGGTTCAATACATGTTAATTATTCATTACCATTGATTTTGCATTTTCGCTGCTATGTTTGTTTTTTTTTACTGGAAAAATTGTGAATTTAAAACTGTATACAACCAAATTTCTAAATTATCAGATTTGCATTTTACATGCATTGTGTATGTTGCATGGGACCCCTGTCAAAAACAATGTGGGTGTTGAATATGACATTTTAATTGATATTAAAAATAAATCCTTTGGAGATGCATGTAATTCACTTCACTGAAATCAATGCTTTAAAAATAGATTTTAGTAACCATGGCAACCTAGAAGATGAAATTGAGTTCCCAGAAAATAAATTGCCTACAAGATGATAGTTTGCGGCAGGATTTCACGTGACATTTCTGCAGTGAAAATAATTGGCTTAGTTATATTCTATGTGGGCCTAATCAGTAAGCAATGTACGAACATTCTGTCACAACAAATACGGTATCGTTATCATTGGCTTGTTAATAGTATCATACACTATGGTGCTCAGAATAGATCTATTCTTAACTTCATGCATATGCATAAAAATATAATTAGCATGAAAATGACAGCATTTATCAAAGGTTTTTGTGAGTGGGCCAGTCACCAACGTTTACTGCCAGCCACCTTCATACATGCATATAAATGTATGCAAATAGGACTAGACAGCACTAGGAGGAGATAAAACCTGTATCAGGTTTCATCAACCCTTAGTTCTTTTGATCATGTATGACCAAAAATTTACCTTCAAATCTAACCATTGGTCTTATCCGTCGTATGGGGAACACGTGTACACGTGTATATGTTGAAAGAACTAGCTAATTTCCATTTTATTTCAAACATCCAAAATCCCAAAGCACAAATGTGTAATAAAGGATTGAGGTGAATTAAAAGCAGTAACAGCTGCTGGCATGCCAATCTTATAACACAAAAAGCATGATAAGCCAGGAAATGTATGTTGAACAGTATAAAACTCTTAATACAATAACAGCAAATTGTAAAAACAAAATTCTGGAAAAGTTGAAAAGTTACATTGAGTAGAATAGGCATAAACTACAAGGTCATTGTTTATGCATAGCAACCATTCGCCTTGCTAGTGTCGAAAGATATTTCTGTGGTGCCCTTATGTATCGCTTGTAGCAGTCGCTGGACCACCGTCCCATAAGCTTAATTTCCCAATCTGTAATACCTGAAGCGGCTGCAGTAGTAGCCCCTCCACTACGGAAACTATGCCCACTGTAATTGTTTGGGTCATGTCCAATGTCCTTAAGTTTGGACTTCAAATGAGTAATGAAAAACCCGCGTGTGATTGGTTCTGACTGAGACAAAGTAAACAGTGGTGAAGTAGGATATGCCCCTTCACTAATACGTAGCTCATGAAAGTAAGAAAGTACATGAACTGCATAAATAGGATGTGTGGAACAACCTAATACTACATCTATACCTTTCTGAAACTGATCAGTCTTGGACTGTTTGAGATGAATGATAACTGTGCCGCAGGAATCTGGCTGAGTGTGAAAAGTCACATCTTGGATAGAAATGTGCACAGAAGGGTTAAAATGGGTGGCATTGACTACCAGTTCCCCCAAACGAAATAGACCAAAAAAAGCTGTGACCATGATTGCCAAGACGGCAATATCAGTTCGATTGTTACAATTATGAGTTTTAAATAATAATTCTAAAATGTCAAATGTAATGGCTAGTTTCTCTCTTGAGATGCCTTTAACTCTGATAGGTGGGCGTGACTACAACACGACAAATATCCCAAATTTACTTGGATATGAGTAATCATTTTAGCAAAAAATCAATAACTACCCATTTCAGTGGGACACAGATCTAAAATGGGAAACGTGAGGGTGGGCATTGCACAGGCACTTTAACTCTGTGAATAGCTCTTAAGGCTAATTGAATACGTGGTCTGTCTAACAGTGGGTCACCTGTGCCACATGTGATGTGCCATGAACGAACTGAGTTGAGATAAGTGACGATGGTGCTATGTGCCAAATTCTTAGACTCGTGCAAAAAAGTTGTAAACATGAGCAATGTCTCTTCTGAAGCTGGTAAAGTTTTCTCACTAATCAGTTCACAAAAATTGAAGTAAGCTTGTTGGCCTGAACTGTAGGTGTTTTTTGTGTTACTGTGGAATACTTTATTTTCGCTGGAATTAATTTTCACTGAAAAGGCTTTTCGGGCGTTTTGCTTGGAATTTATTTTCACTGATTTTTCATGAGTTTAATGTGAAATATAGGAAAAAAAGTATATTCGCTGGATTTTATTTTCACGGAATCATCCCTTCAGAAAAATAGCGAAAATAAATTCCAAGCGAAAATAAAGTATTCTACAGTATACGAGTATGCTGTGCCTATCAGGTGACGGGCACGGATCCACCAGTGGCCAGAGTTACCTGTCAGGAAAATAAAGCTAGATATTAGTTAATTTACATATCGATAAAAATACGAGACAGTGCATCAGCTGCACAATTATTTTTTCCCATCACATGGACTGCCTTTAGTTCAAAATTAAATTTTGCACATGTGAAGAAAATTCGACGTAATAGTGCGGCGCACTGTACATTGCGTGATGTTCCTTTGTTGATCATGTAAACCAGAGGTATTGTCACAGTGGAAAAGAATTCGCAGTGTTTTGAAATTGTTACCCCATGCATCAGCAGTGTGTGCTATGGCATAAAGTTCTCGCCAGTTAATGGAGTATTTTTGGGGGGTGTAATTGTCTACTCCATCCCTAAATTTTCCTTGAAGTGTTTTTGTGCCAAGCACTGCTCCATATACAATATCTGACGCATCTGTGTATAGTTCAAGGTCAATGCTTGATGTCCAGTGTAAATCATAAAACATGCTGACCCCATTCCACGTTGGTAGGTATGATTTCCACCACTGTACGTCTAGGTAAAAACTTTGTGTGAGTTTTGTTTTATGATGAAGATTTTTCAATTTACTAGCTGTATCGATCATTCGTCTTAGGAATGTACGTCCCGCATGGCAAACCTTTGTGACAAAACTGAGTTTCCCAATTAGAGAGAGAATTTGACGTTTAGTTGCGTGTCTGCGTGCATGCCATTGGTCAAGTTCTGTTATTATTTCTTGTAGTCTGTCACCCGATATGCGTGCTTCCATTGCTTCTGTGTCTAAAATTAATGCAGGTGGTTGGAGTGCATACTTTGTTTGGGTTTATTGGAAACCCAAGCTCTGAACAACAGTCAAGCATGCCCTTAAGATTTTCATCACACTGCGTACTGTGTGCCTTACCGACAGTAATGTAGTCGTCCAGAAAAATGCAAATGTTTTGAACAGGGATGGACTACTACGCAAGCCAAATGGCAATACTTTGCTGTAAAAGTAATATGTCTTTGACTGTCCTGATCTATCAATGTCAAGATCCCAAGAACACCCGAGAAGCTCCCAGTCTGCTGGTCGGACTGGGATTTGATAAAAGGCATCTTCAAGGTCTACCTTTGCAAGCAGGGACCCCTTGCCAGATCGAAGAATGTGTTCTATTACAGTTTCAGTTGATGTATAAGTACATGTGTATTGTTCTTTGCAAATACCATTATTTATAGACTGCCCTGGTGGCCATGAGAGGTCATGGATGATGCGATACTTTCCACTGTTCTTTTTAGGTTGTGCTCCAAGCGGGGATGATACAAACGATGATAAGGAGTGGCTCTGGCATGGGACCAGCTTTGTAATCCTTGGTCACTTCATCCAGGAGTTTCTTGGTAATTGCTGCTTTTGCATTTAGGGCACTGTTCCAGTTTTTGGAAAGAAGGGGGGTTTGCGGCCTTTGACCTTGAGTTTTTCAGTCAGTTTTTTGTCAGGGTGGTTGTCAAGTAATTTTGTTCATGAGGCATAGTTAAGACTGCATGCAAGGTTTGCATCTAATGATGGGTTCGCTTCCGCCACAGCGCTTACACACATGCTCTCTTTTGCAGTTTGGAGATTTGCATTCATTGACATTGTATAGGAGACGCACCTGGCTTTTCTTCTTGGCCTCCTCTTGTGTCTCCGGTGAGGTGGGTATCTTCGCAAAAAAGGGACAATCTTTCGCTCGACCGGTCTGGTTGTTTACATCTATGGCATGTAGGAAGAGACTTGGCAGCACTTGGATCTGTAAACGTTGTTATGGAAAGCTCATGGTCTAATTTGTCATAGCTGAAATCCCTGGTTTCTGCTAGCTTGCGACAGAACTTTATGTCATAGCTATACACACTGTGCCATTGGAAATTAACATCACAATTCTGGATAGTGCGGCGATATATAAGTAGGGCTTTACAAAGTTGTGGATGTTGACTATATAAAATACTTTTATACACTCCAAAGGCAGCCAGCCACTGTGTGAAAGAATTGATCTGCACCTTCTTGCGTTTTGGCTGGAATGTTAACTCTGATCCTTTCAATACTGCCTCAATGGCATCATCATGTTCACCACAGGATGAATGGCTGGGGTATTGTAAAGTTGCTAGATCAATGTACTCACCGGCAAGGACTTTCTTTTTGGTAGCTGGAGATGTGTTGTCATAGCTAGCAGCAGCATGCAACCCCCTTGATTGATCTTGTAGGGATGAATGGAGCGGCTTGGATGACATGGATGATGGTTTACCAGCTCTCATCATTCTGTATGGCATGTATAGGCCGTCATCATTATGAATATTTGACTGTACACCACTAACTTGTACCTCTGGTGTTTGTTTTTGAACATGCAGGCTTTGTTCTAGTAGAGCTGTGAGCTTGTCAAGTCGTGTTTCTATTTGTGATAATCTTGCCTCTGTTTCTGGCGGTTGTTTAAGAGAACGCGTTGAAATTGGGGTCATCAAAGGTTCCCGCTTATGAAGTCCGCCATGTTGTTTTGGGGTTGCAAGTTCACTCACCAAACTTCCTTGCAATATGAGATTCCCTGTGCTTGGGCTATCATCTGTCGAGCAGTCAGGACATTCATGTGGTGGCAGACCTTCCCTGGGTCGAAGATTATAAGCCATTACGGAGATATTTGTCTCAAGAAAAGTATCAAAAGTACAGCCTGAAAAACGCATGCACAGACGACATGCATACGTTAATAAACGAAAAATATGTCAACCTGTCACCTAGGACTGTGAGGGCGCTATAACACGTAAGACAACTTAGAACAATTAGGGCGCTGTCACAGAAAGGCCACTAAAGTCCTTTAACACACAGTATTAAACATACAACATACAAAACAGTCTATGACCATGATCTTTTGTTTACAAGGAGAAACATGTACTAGTATGTCAAGTTTGAAGGTTCTAGCTAATATTCTTTTAGAGTTCTATTGTGAACATGCACACACACACACACACACACACACACACATACATACATACATACATACATGTTGTGTGCAATTATGACACTCAACATACCAATTGTTTGCCCTCATTGTATAAAAATTAGGATGTGGAAAAGACAGAAAATGTACAAAAGGTATGTTACCAAAATATGAAACTTTAATTTTGTGCCTGTAAGACTGCCAATTTCAATCTAATTTATTCCGATGAATCTTGTTTCTTTCATCTTCTTTGATTGTTAAATTGATCACACAAGAATTAAAGTAATCTATTTCCATGGTGATGACTTTAGTTCATTTTAAATTCCAAATCTTGCTTTTTATTTTGAATGTCATGTATTAACCAAATGTGGATACATAAATTTTCTGATAAAATGACTTTTTGTCTTCAAATAAAACTAAAACTAGAATGTATAATGCAAAATTGTTGTACATAGGTGATGTCACTTTTTGTAATACTAGTAAGACATGTACATAACACCCTTTTGCGTCACATGCGATTGGAAGTGCGACCCATCATGGTACACCTATACATGTGAGCTTTCATAACCGCTACATGTATTTCCGTGCCCTTTTCACTTCTTTCTCAACTGTAACATATCAATACTGTAAATTCTATCTTTACATGACATGTCTTTAACCATCACAATGAGTTTATTTTTCAATTGATTCCGTCCACAATCTCATTACAAGTCACCATAAATGACATTAATCTGTCACATGTGATTTTAAATTCCGATTTGATGCCATACTAACCTGTAGTTCTAACTCCCTTGGGGTTAGTACACCCAGAAAATAGAAATGCCATGTATTAGTAACCTAGGTGATGTACAAATGAGTGAAGAGTGAGTTTTTTTCAAGTTTTCAGTTTTTAAGATTGATCGGCTAATGGATAGAAAAAAAATCTAAACTTTGTTATTTTTTGCCAGTATGGAGGTTTGATTGCAGTTTTTCCTATTTATTTTTGTTTTGTTAGACTTTTTATTATTGCAAGCACATTTTCCATCTCCTAAGAACAGTGGATATTTTATGAGCTAAGCCGGTTGCTGAATTTTTAAACTATCCATGTGCCTGGGGCTTTCATAAAAAAATATATTAATGTTTGTAGTACAAGAATAAAAAAATAACATTGTCTTTTGACCGCAATTCGATACAATGGACATTCATCGCTAATGTTGCAGTCATCAGAATCAGACCTTTCAGTGTCAAAATACACAAATGTAGAATCGTTAAATTATTAAAAAAAAACGCACATGCGGAGGGCAAGCATCATGGTTGAGTCATCAAGCATCAAAAGAACATGATGCTTCAGTTGTCTGGGGAGAGAGCACGGAGTATGTATCAATAAAAGCGTGAAAGTAAGCAAAAGGGTTAGGGTTTGGCGATAGTTTTGTGACGCACAATTGAGTTTTGTTTTGAATCAAATTATTAAATAATTTATTCATAACTTAGAAAAATGAAGGAAAGCTGAAGCAAACTTAGTGTGAACCTGACTTTGTATGTGGTTGTAAGGGTGATGTCACATAATGGCGAAGTGAGCCTTTTGTCTTCGTGAAACAGAAGCGATACCATAGCGAAAAAAAGTCAACGCTTATACGGCAGCTGTACTACATATACTATGATAAATGTGCTTTTATGGTAAAGCAGGAGGGTAGTCACCTGCGCATGCAGGAATTGAGTTCCAAGCGATGATGACAACACGCGCTAAAAACACAAAGGCTCATGGGTAGATGCTTGTTTGTAAACAATGGCATGCTATGGCCACCTGACGCATGCGTAGGTGACGACTCCCTCGCTTTAACTTAACTTTATAATCTAATACCTTTTTGTACTCTGAAGCAAGATTATAAAATCGTAACATTTTTTAATGTACTTTGTGTATGTCACTTTGCTACCCATGAATATTCTGCAATGATGGTGTAAAACCTATAATTTGGCAGCTAAGGTGTCAGAAGTACTTGTGTAATGATTAATTTGACAAGCAATCTCCGTATATGCCATTCTTATTTTCAGACTTCCAACTATTTCTCAGTTTAATATTAATTTTCATCAATTGAATATTAAAATCGATGATACACAAACAATATTTTTCTTATTGTATTATTAATAAAATGTAATTTCCTTTTCATGGTTCTCTACCAAAAATATAATAAAAATTTCATATCATTAAAAAATAAGACGATAATCTTGTTCATTAGTCGGGTATAGCAGGTTCTGGTTTCTGTAACACTTTTTTTAATGAATTCTTTCTGGTTCTGGCCAAACAACCGCCATAGATGGGAACATAGTGGAGATATATTTTAACTGTTTGCAGGGTGATAGTTGTAGTTTTTGTTGTATTTTTTGGAAGTTTTTTTAATTGGGGAGCACACGACATGAGAATTTAATTCTATTTTTTGCGTGAACATTTCATCATGTAGAATGTATCTTTTACTCTTTGTCTTGAAATGCACACACAGAATTAAATCCTCATCGCATAATCTCTCTACCTTTGATTTCACAATTGAATTATATTGACAATAAATCTGTCAGAGAAAATTAATTCTGAATAAAATAAAGTCAACTGTCAGTATAGTATA